CCAACCCGGAGAAGAACAGGGGATTTGGATGCAGCTCTAATAAAAATGCACACAAGCTCCCTTTTCCACAGGCTTCTCTGGAAACTTTCTAAACGCTTCTGCTTCTGCAAACCCGCCCCGGGAAACCTTACGTTAGAAGTTAGTTTTAAAGAGCACACACAGGCTCTTTCGAAACAAAATAATTTCAAGGCATCTCTGCACTTGGGCCAATTTCCTCAGGCACCCAGCCCCATATTTAAGCACCAAAGGCAAGATCCCCCAATTAGGCATCTAGTGCTTAGTTTTATGCCCCTGAATTTGAAAATACGGTCCTTAGTGTCGGATTCTCAGGCACCTGGAAATAAGTATTTTCCTTTGGAGTGATTAAAAAAGGAAATCATCTGTGTATATTATCTCTATTTTCTTTCCTTTATAGGGTTTTAAGGCTGCTTTTATGCGGCACTGGAAAGTTACAGCCCGTGATTTGTTGCATTCTGGTCTGCTAATAGAAACATCCCCCTCCAACGCCGCTCGCTCCTAAGAGCAGAAGGATCGTAACGCAGATTGTAAATGGTTGCATTACTGAGAAAGATAATGTTTCTTTCCACTTTCATTTCCCTCGGTTGATATTTATCATGGCAGGGGTTGCGTAAGCATGTGAGAGAGAGCTCATGCATTATTTACCAGTCTGGAAATGGGGAAAGGCTCCAGCCTTTCGCAGCACGGCTGAACCCCGAGCGGTTCCCACCCGCCAGGGTTTGCACGGCCTTTGGGGGTGGCTCTGCACTTGGGCCAATTTCCTCAGGCACCCAGCCCCATATTTAAGCACCAAAGGCAAGATCCCCCAATTAGGCATCTAGTGCTTAGTTTTATGCCCCTGAATTTGAAAATACGGTCCTTAGTGTCGGATTCTCAGGCACCTGGAAATAAGTATTTTCCTTTGGAGTGATTAAAAAAGGAAATCATCTGTGTATATTATCTCTATTTTCTTTCCTTTATAGGGTTTTAAGGCTGCTTTTATGCGGCACTGGAAAGTTACAGCCCGTGATTTGTTGCATTCTGGTCTGCTAATAGAAACATCCCCCTCCAACGCCGCTCGCTCCTAAGAGCAGAAGGATCGTAACGCAGATTGTAAATGGTTGCATTACTGAGAAAGATAATGTTTCTTTCCACTTTCATTTCCCTCGGTTGATATTTATCATGGCAGGGGTTGCGTAAGCATGTGAGAGAGAGCTCATGCATTATTTACCAGTCTGGAAATGGGGAAAGGCTCCAGCCTTTCGCAGCACGGCTGAACCCCGAGCGGTTCCCACCCGCCAGGGTTTGCACGGCCTTTGGGGGTGGCGTGGCTGAAGGGTTGCTAAAAGCAAACACGATGGCCCTGCCAGCCCGGAGAGCAGCAGCCAAATGGTCCTGAGGAGCGCGGGCTCCGCTTTCCCTTCTTCCCGCTCGGGATAGTTTATGCCAATAGTTATTACGCGCTATGGCAAGACTGGACCGAGCTCAGGCCAGAACCACCACCAAGTCACCCCAACCACCAGAAAATTCCTTGGGCGCAGATGGGGCTCCAGGAGGCTCCAACACCTCCAAGACAAAATTTCTTGCTCCTGAATGCAGCTGGGGGAAGACGTGCTGGTCAGGGAGGAGGCAGAGAGCCTCGCCAGCACCGGGACTTGGCCCCAGGATGCCACCAGGGCCGGCGATGCTGACCCAGCTCCCAAGCACGCCAGGAAGTTGCAACACTCCCAGGTTTATTATTATTAACCCCCAGCCACGTCAGAGGCTCGGCGCTTGTCCTCGCGGCCCCACTGCCAGCGCACGTTAAAAAGCTAACGAAACAAGTCATTAAAAGCTGGAAACCTTTAAAAAACCAAAAAACCAAAAAAGAAAACAAGCAACAATAACAGTAAAGCTACTAAGTAAGAAACAAGTTAATGAGGAAAAATTACAAGGAACTAAATATTTTAAATGCTTTTCCAAATCAAGGAGAACAAAGGGAAAGGATCAGCTCTTACTTTTGCAATTAAGGTATTATTTATGGCAATTTAGCTTTTCTGAGGTTAACCGTGGGTACAGTGCTGCAGCAAACACATCTGCTTTCCTCCCAGGGCTTCTAATCAGCTTCTAGATCAGCTTCAGCCAGCCAAAAAGTGGGGGGAGGTCTGCACGCCCCCCAGCCCACACGCACACAGGGCGCTTGTTAAACCCCCCGAGGATTCATCCCAGCGCTGGGCGGTTGGACCGTGACCATTGCCAACAGCGCTCAACCCGGAGCGCCAGCCCTGGAGCTCAACTATTGTATCTTTGGGGCAGAAAACAAACCTTGCACGAATGGGAGGTAACATTTTGTAGGAGCAAAAGGGAAAAAAAAAAAAAGTAAATAAAGATTCTGTCTCTGTGCCAAGGGGTGGAAAGAGGAGCCTCAGAGGTGCTCCCCCCGTGTTTGCAGCCACACCAGGTTGTACAGAGGCACCGACCTGGCGGAGCAGCCTCCCACCAGTGGGGTGCCTGTCCCATTGGCGCCACCGTCCCCTCCGCCTCTGGGGACACCCCCAGGGCTCAGGGGAACGCTCCCCGGGGGCTCCAGGGAGCTGGGGGATGAGCACACGGCCACCGAGGAGCCACCCTGGCAGAGCCCTTCCCTTCTCCCAACTCCCAGCCACCACGCGGAGCCCCAGGGGCTGCCAAACCCCACACTGCTGTGCAGGGAGAAAACACAGCTACCACCCTCACGCGCATCTTCTGTAGCACCCCCCCCAACCCCCCTCGATGCAGAGCTGGTAACGTTTGCAGAGAAGCTGTTTATAACAAACTTTTTGCAAAAGTATGTGAAACATTAAGACTGTCCCCGCTATTTACAGGACTCAGCCCCCAGATGCCTTCTTGCTTTTCCTACAGGCTAAAAAAACCAGTAAAGTAAATAAATAAAAAAGGATGCAAAGTTTGGCTAAACTCAAAACCAGTTCGGGGGGAGAAGGCTGACGAGGGGACGGTCCTGGGAAGGCATCCTGCCTTCCCGACATCCATGTCGTACTTCTGCCCACCTATTTTGAGGAGACGCGATGGGTAAACCGGTTGCAAACTGTATGGAGCTTTTTTATGACTCCTGATTTTTCCAGACCCCATGCTGGCTGCCCCCCCCTCCGTGTCCTGTGCTCTTGGAAACCGTGCAGAGGAAATCGGTGTCACTGCTGCGGCTGGGAAGACACCCCGCGGCACGCAGAGGAGTCGGCACACTTCAGCTGAAAAAGGGGGGGAAAAAAAAAAAAAAAAAAAAGAAAGAGAAAAATTAGCAAAGCCTTAGAGGAAAATCTCCTTGTGAATGCAAAAGGTCGCCAAGACTCGGAGGTGGGCACACGGGCCGTGGTTTTTCTGAGGGCAGACACGGGAGGGTGCGAGCGGGGATGTGACAGCCTCCAACCGCCCCGGCAGAGCTACCGGAGGCAGAGAGGGTTTAACGAGCACCGGGAGCTTGGCAGGAGATGAGGAACTCGCTGACGAGGGCCTCCGAGCGCGTTGCCCTCGAGCAGAGGCTTTATTTTATGTAAATCTAACTGACCAGAAGATTTCTCCTCTCTTCATTCGCCCTCTCCCAGCAGAAACATTTATTATGCTAATTGAAACGTTTAATCACCCGGGACTGCTGGCTGCAATATCTCATCCCAAGCAGCTTGTAACGTTTGCTTGGATCAGCACCCTGGGAGCAGAGGTGCTGTTTCACCCCTTCGCCTGCCCAGGGACCCGGTGCTCCCCTCCTCCTCCTCGCTCCCCTCGCCCCCAGCCCTGCCCCCTCCCCTCCTGCAAGTTGCAAACGCGTTAATATAAAAGTATTAACGGCGCTTATCTGATGCATGGGAGCGAGAGATTGCGGGAGCGGGCTGGCAAGCAGCCAGCAGCTAATGGCATAAAAGCAATTTGATGGGGGGGAGAAAAAAAAAAAATTAACATGCTAATTGTCAGGCTGGAGAGGGTGCTGGGGACCACATAGAAGGGAAAAAAAGAAAAGAAAAAAAAAAAAAGAAGAGACGTTTTCTGATTGCTCTAGATTTTAACACTAAAGGTCTGAGGGAGAAAGGAAGGGTTTGATGGAATATTCTTCTTTTTGTCCCATTCTCTGCTGCCCTCCCCCAGCTCCAAACCTCTAGCCGGAGCCGCGGGCACTCACGGGGATGCGTCGGGAGATCGCTTCCTTCTTAGCATCGCGTGGCTGCCAGGCGCTCCACGGGCGTCAGAGCCGCTCCCCACCACCACCACCCCGCTCC